ATGTATGCCACCTAAAGGAATAGGCACCGGTCAATTCATTACGATCTAAACTCTTAGAGTGAGCAGACGGATTATGGATGGGTTATTTATGTGACTTGTGAGTTATAAGTTATCCCTAATTCAGTAAGGCCAATTTTTGAAAACAGTGAAACAACTTACCCAGATGTTCCATGTACTCGCTGATGTTAGGACTGGAGACCATGGTGTCATCAATGAACGTGCGGACGCCATTTAGACCGCAACTACGTCTGTGATGAAGGGTCAGAGGACTTGTGTGGCATTCTGTAACCAAAAAGACATTCGAAAAGACGCGAATTAGGTAAATAAACAAGTAACTGCAGTTTTAAACCTATACTGGACACATTGCCCGTCACGTTTAAATACACTGGGGTGGGTAGACACGGGATGGCCACCGGCTAGAGTGTGTTTTGCACCGCTGGCTATTGATAAAAGAAAATGGGGTGCTATAGAGGCCGATCAGTCATTGGATTGTGATTACGAAAGAACAGGCTATGAGTGAGAGACGTAATAGTCAAAGTGCCACAGATTAGGTGGTTTCCTATACTGAGGATTTAATATCGGCTCTGTGAAATTCAATCCAATAATGGGCTTGGCTGAAACCACTGTTCTTAAAAGCGATGTAATGGATACCATGTAGCGATATTGTGGACCAATTGTTGGTAGCTGTATATGATAATAATATATATGCTGATATCAACGCGTTTGCATTCAGACAAACGTGGCCTGTCAGAGTTGAGGGGGAACAACACTTTTGATAAGGTACAATGGATCGGCGTTCGCGTCTGAAACGTAATACAAGCAATTAAATTTTGTACCATCAATTGAACTAGTCTCCCACATGAGCTAGCGGAGTAGTTCCGGGTTTGTCCTTGGTACTAATAGCAGGTCTCTTAGATACGCAAAAAGACTGCTGAGGTCACCATTATTGAGATCTGAGTAGGTCGCGGCGGATCACTGTCTGATCCGTGATATGGAGCTCTTTGTATTCGAGCAAAGTGAAGGCTTTTGGCGCGGAGCATCATTTGGCTGGTGAAGAGAGCTTATTGATATCATCATACCTTGCCACGGCCCTAGACCAGTTGTTTTTTCATCTGCTTTCGGTCGAAAAGAAATGGATGATCATTGGATACCCTCCAAAGAACGCTTTATCCGAATTTCGTGACGAAGATATAATCGTTAGTCTGTTGTTTCTGGCATGCAAAATTTGGGGTAACCATCATCCATTTGGAAATGTAACCTAGAAGGATTTCAGTACACAGGGCCAAACACTTATCTTGGTCACCTAAAAGGACGAGCTGATGTCGAACAAGTGACTAGACTGAACCAGGTGTCCGGTAGCACAGGCTGAGTTGTGACCACACACTTTTTTTGAGTTCTCGGCATTTCAGACCCGCCATAACCCGGACGTATAGATGGTCATATCGTTTGCTCGCTTTCCAGGCACGCGCTCAATTCTGTCGTTATAAACTCATCACCATTGAAGGTGTAATTGATGGTGGTAACAGTACAGTGTTCAGATGCAAAGTGCATCAGGTTCAAGTTTCTTCAGCTTTTACGCACAAGCAATAGTTTGAGATTTGAGGATAGGGACATTACTGATGGACGAAAGTACTGTGTTTAGACAACGTTCCAATGCTCACCATTACCATGTTAGATTCATTTAGCAACCGGCTTGTTTTAGGGGCCTGATGGCGTCATCTCAGTTTAACCTCATCTTTCGAATGGAGTTGCACTATTCTGTAGCTCACCCTGCTAGCTTTTCTATTGTTGTGCCTCCTTAAGAGGTTTTGTGGAATCGCTAATTTACTTGATGAGATATTTAACCAGGTTTGCGGAAGAATTCCTACGGTAGTCCGGAAAGGAGGCATGTTTCATCTCAGGGTCGTAGGCGATGTGTGCTTGATATTATTTGATCCCGGTTGTCTTAGACTGTTAAATTAGATGTTCCTCGTCTGTGAAGCGTTCTACTCCGCAATAATGGCATAAGTCTCAAAAGTTTGTTAGGGGTTTCAGTGTCTTCTCCCCACCTTCAAAATTCTAAAACCGCAAAGCACATTTTTGTACTGAACTTGGTTTTAATTAAACCGCGGCTGTGTACCAGCAATACGAATTTTGTCTGATGTTTAACGGCAGGGGAGCGTAAAACAAATTTCAGTATATGCCAGCATTTGTCTACTATCTGTGGTAATGCGACTATCGTGTTGTAAAACGATGTGCTAAACCGTATTTTTTCGTCCTGTTGGAAGAAATATCCGTTGGTTCACGTTCACATAAATGTTATTTGGAAATCCAATTTTCTGTCCAGGCGCAACTATTCTGGTGAGTCCATCTCAAAGGGCAGAAACACTTTAATCGAACAGTCGAATATGTTAACGCCTGAGCGACATGACTGTTTTGATTGATTTACTGATCGACGATCTGGCAACTGTCCTGACTAGGCTGATAGATTAAGAATTTCGAAGTCAGGTAATGATTAAGCCGTTTGAAACCTGACGGAGAATTTTGACTATTTGTAGATAGCTATTGTTGGGCCAGGAAAACCAAACGTCTGCCGCTGGGCCTGGAAAACCAAATTTTAATCTTTGTGAACAGTCAGGCAGAAAGTTAGAAAGGTTTGAAACGTTCGTCCTGTCGAGGTGTATGTGTTTAAAGGTTATACAAGGCTGGTATTCAGTGAATGTCCACTGCATAAGTTCCAGGTAGAAAGCACCGAATTCGTCACAGTTAAAAACAAATATTTGAACACTTCAGTATACAACAGGGCAGAATAAAGAGATAAGTTGTCATAAAACTGGTATTCTCCAATTTATTTATCGTTAGCTGAGCGCTGCTTAGACGATCACCACAGAGGTGAATTCATCTTCTTTGCTAAGCCTGCATTCTTGTCCGGTTTTTAGTTCGTACGGGGATACTCGAAGACAATTTTCTACAAGTCTCGTAAGGCGAAAGGCTGAGTTATTCGGTATTAGAGTCAGTCTTTGGTGTCACGCTTTTCCCTGAGTCGAACACTCATGAAATCGACTAAAAAGGTCCACTTTTCAGTGCAGTACTCACAAGCAAATTTAGTAGCAGAAGGGTAGAAAATGAAACGATATTGTTATTTACCGAGGTATAGCCCTCTCGGAAGATCCCTTTTATTCGTGAACAGCTCTGAGTAGCTCTGAGTAGTTAAAGCCCAGTTCAAGCACACCAAACGCCACTGGATGAAAATGCAAGAATCTACAACGAATCACACTGCCATGCGTCAGGTCAGCATTCATTTTCGTGGACGGAACAATCTAAAACATAATGTGCCTAAAATGCTTGTTACCGGTATCTTTCGAGGGCGAAGGCGGGTAATAGAACAACAGGAGATTAAACGGCACACTAATTATGTCATATCTAAATCTGATGTTGGAATTGAGATGAAAGTAGTACAAAACGTCTAATTTTATCAATTTCCGATAGTGGCTTTGTAAAACTGTCATGGAGTTTCACGAAAAATCCAAGGAGTTTAACATCTTTAGCAGTTTTATAAGCGAATGATGGCACAAGAGAAAAAAGAGCGTATTTTATGATAGTGTACTATCAACGCTTCTAGACTGGATGTAGTGGATAGGGGCCAAATAGACATCTAAATTAGGTTTATTTCTCGGTTTGTTGTTTCAATAAATATAGGTAGTGGATTGCTGGATCAACTGGACAGACGTTGCGTTTCCGAATAACGTATGGTATTCTCAGACTCTGAGAACTATGAAACAGTATTTCTTGGTCAAGGAAATGTGGTGCATTCGAAATTCGCCGTCCAATCAAGCATATATAATTTTCACCTTCTGTTGCTTCCAAAAATATAAAACGCTGCATTTTTTCCGTTGCCGCAAAAGTTTCACCAAATTTCGGGTGGCACAGAATACACCGATTTCTGATTAAAAAATGGGGGTGCGGCGCCAATAGATGTGATTCATAAGTTTCCGGTCATATGCTTTTAACGTTTATATTCACTGAAGAATTCGTTGTGAATTTCCTCTTTCAACTTGATGAGATCTTTGCTGAAAATGTGGGAAATTTGTGTAAAAGTTTCATATTGATTGGCTGTCTCAGAGGTAGGCATCTCACTACTATCTGTAATGATGTGAATAAATGATTTTTGGGTTGATAATTGATTGCTGCACCATTGTTCCACGATTTGATTACCATAAGATCGCAGTTCCAAATATTCTCAGTCATATGTGAGTTGGGTACCGATGACGATCTTCAGTAACAATCAAAATATTATAAAGTGTTCTCTGGTCTGAAGCTCAGTTTGCCTTAACTTGTTGGACAAAATCATTACTGATTCTGGGTATTTAATTTCAATTTAGGATACTTTGACGTCTATTGCGTTATGAAGACACGCTTCCTGATTCACTTCAAAAGTTCTACTCACAGTAATGGCTCAGATACCGACTCCACCTGCTCAGAATATTTCCCGTGAATATTCTTTATATTTTCAGTATATCGATTAATAAAGGATTCAGAAGTGTGAGCAGTTTAATGCGGTTTTTATGCACACGAGTGCTCAGTCAGTTGTGTCATTCCGATCCATATTTACCTTGATAATTTATAATAATCGTTAAAACTAACAGCAAAGGTAGAATCACACAACGAATTCCGCTGACGCCGATCGACCTCCTGAGAACATTCTGACTGCTTCGTATCTGAATACTTTAGTTTCTAAGCCTACTGATCTATCAGAGATATGCAGTTCGTTGAATAGTTTCCCACTTATCCGAGGTTTGGTATGCGAAGTTATAGAAAATGGCGCCTATAAGCCAATATAACACTCTATGTTGACATGAGTTCTGCGAGCTCGACCATCCAACTCAGTTCATTACAACTAACGATTTACATATATCGCTTGGTTTATTGTGACTATGATCCGTAGAGATCCAAAACAAAGTATCTTCTGCCCCGAATTTTCCTGCTTTATCTCAAACAAATTTCGTCCTTTCTTCGCACAGATATTGTTTCCTCGGGCTTGGGCGCTGTCTACTTTGACTTGCTGACCGGCAATTATACACATTTGATTGAACTTCCAGCACTGAAAAGTATCTACGTGGTTGCCAATGGGTAAGTATGTTCTCCTGTGCATTTGGTTCTATCCATTATTTTAGTCGACTTGCCTAGTTCGGTATCCGAACACCCCGGTCTAACCGAAATTTATCCTGTTTTGATGCGACTGTTCTGAATAATCAAGTTTACCTGATACAATTATGGCTCTAACGTGGACTAGTCAGTCCTGCTGTGATTTGTGCAACTGACGAATAAGTGTGCTCGGTGTTCGAGAAAACTTTGTCAGTGGAGCTGGATCGTGTGGGTACAGTTGTCTTTACAAATTACCTAGAATAGCGGCCCTGGAGCAGCGCCAGTAGCGTCCCCTCCGTCACCATGAATGTGCGTTAACATCACTATCATCATCATCATCATCATCATCATCATCATCATCATCATCATCATCATCATCATCATCATCATCAAATACAGCACTGATACTTCACATATATATATATATATATATATATATATATATATATATATATATATATATATATATATATATATATATATATATATATATATATATATATATATATATATATATATATATATCATTACATTAAAAGCTCTAGGCTGAAAAGAAGTGAAAGAGAGTGGGTGAGGGAGAGGGCCGAGTGCTGGCTTACGTCAAGCATTCTGAGGTGCCTACACCACCAACCGCTCAACCAGACAATCTGGGAAGAAAATGACAGCATGAACGCCACTGACATCGATTAGCCAGCGCGTTAATATGTAACAGAACCTATTTTATTTTGGTAAGCATTAAGTGGTGAGCAATCAAGAAAGGTTAATTGTTCATCTAATAAAGCAATATATCAGAATGGGATGGAAAGAATTACAGAATGCAGTAACTGCTGATCACAAAACACAAATGCCTGTCTCACTTAAACCTAAACACTGCAAGCTGCAGAACTTTCGAATCGCTACTGCAAAGACTGAGGTAAACCTTAGACAAGAAGTGGGCTCAGAAACCGGAAAACGATAAGACACAACGGCACATTTTGAGTTGTTCATTTCTGTGCGCCCGGATGCCATGAGTAAATATTGAAGGAAAAGCGCACGTAATTAGTTCAGTTTCATCTGGCCCGCTGCTTGTTCAGTTTCTCGATCAGGCCTGTCAGCTCCGTTTTTTTGGCTCTCAATGAGAAGGATAATCGTATACAGAAGGACGTGTAAAGGTGAAGTGTGAGAACCAGACTGAGGTGCCAGGAAAATAAAAGGACTGAAAGCGATAAGAGAAGCTGGCCGGAATAGAAGAAACAGAACGCGTTCGTTGAATGCTGCCACGTTCCAAATCAATTACACGCAACCCCACTGTATCCATGATTGCCGGCTCTGCTGAGTTGTACTTTAGAAGAGTTTCCGGCCATACAGCATATCATCAGTCAACCACCACTTCTCGGTTTTAATTCATTGTTTTCAGCTTTCACGTCAGCGTTTATTGGAAAAATTTCAGGGCATAACCATAATCGGCGCCATTTGTACATCGTTAAACTAGTTATTCAAGAACAGTGCTGCCATCCGTTCTATCCCAAAGAAAAGTTAATCCGTTATGTGATAGGTTGGGGCGATTCATGCTCGAAACATATGCCAGCAGTATACACAGTTCGTGTGCGGTGTGGAAACGCCATATTCTCAGACAAGATGTTTTTCGAGAATTCTTGAAAATATGAAGATCTCATGGAGACAGCTCGTCCAGAAGAAGGGTGAAATAACGAGTGTTGATCAGCTCGAGAATCATTTAGCATGTCGCTTGAACACTCTTCTTCCACAATGACTCTTTAAGAGGCCAGTCTCAAATAAACCTCATAAATGATATCGAAATTCTCTTAATCCGAAGGTGTCGATGAATTTCACCGTTTCAGCGCACATTTTTAAAACCTAGGAAAAGAAACAATAAATTAGTGATATGAGAAGTAACTTCCCATGACGTTTGCTACCAGGAGGACTGGTGCTCCTTCTAGAAGTAAAAATTCGTTGGCAACAGCTGAAGCTTATCTAATTTCTCCTTGAATGAGATCGCTTTATTCACGATGATTTATACCAGTTAGGTGTATCGTCCATGTTCATATACAGCCAGCTGACAAAAATATCTGAAAATTGTGGATTTGCTGGCGGCTGAAAGAGTTTGGAAAGCCATGTCCCACACAAATCGACATGATTCAGGCACAAAAATGCATTCACGCGGAACGCCGATGAGTCACAACAGAGTTCTGCTTTCGTATGCTCTATTCTGTGCCACACTTTGAGAAACCCAATGCTTAGTGGGTCTTTCTTAGCAGGATGTATGTTTATTCTTTTGCATGCTTAATATTTGTCAGATATTTCGGTGCCATCGTATTGCTGTCTATGCATAACCTGCTTAGGTATTCCCATGCTGGTGGCCGAAATTCGCATAGCTCAAGTGAGGGGGTCTCATAATATGTTAAAGATTGTTTTCGATGCCCAACCAGTATATGTTCAGAATTACAGAAAAGTGCGTGGATACCGTAGCTCTTGCACTGACACTTATTCTCATGAGTTTTATCAACTTCAGACCTTTCACAGTTCTTGCTCCTTGTTGTACCGCTTGCCGTATCTTCTAAGCTCTTGGTCCACTGTGACATTTTATTGTCTAATAAAGTCCACTCTGTTCGCCATATTGGCGTTAAACATGATAGCATCACAATAAATACTGGCATAGAATACGCATCTATCAACAAAACGTAGGCATTGTCTGCCAGTATAATTAAGGTCAAGCATACTGCTCATCTTCCGGTCAGTATTGTCACACCGTTGCTGTCTGTTTCTCTCGTTATTACCGCAACTATACATGATAAACTAAGGATTTTTCAGTAGCAAGATGTCAACTGACATAAAGGGTAGAAATGTGAGAGACACCCGCGTCAGTTCGCCTGCAGACAATTTTCATTTTTATAAATGTAAATATAGCGATGACCATCCAACTTCTACTGCGGATCCGAGCGGTACAAATTAGGAGCAACTAAAGACAGACTCACCTTCCAACATCCGATGTTCAAAATCCTGCACTTCATTCATGCCAATAGACCCAGTTTCTGATCTATTTGTTTGTGTCAGATCCTTTGCTCTTGCTTCGATCATATGCTCCTTTGAGGAGATTGTCCGAAAACCGATGGATTTAGGAGACAACTTAAATAACTGTCGCTTCATTAATTCAATAGACCGCACAGTTCTCGAGGGACATGACTAAATGAACTGTGCCGATCAGAAGGGGAAAATCAACATCTATCTAGATAAGTTTTAGTCCTGTTGAGTTAGGAACATTTGGTAGTTGAGCAAATTTAGCGGGTAGCTTGACCGCAAACAAAGTGTTCTTTCTATGAAAATAGAGAGATCCTCTGTGTGGTTTGGTATGACGTAATACGCCCGTCAAATGTTTGTTTCATGCAGTTCACAAGACATACAAAACCGATGTAGTTCTGAGTAAACTGTCATCATGAGGTAATCCGATCTAAGGATACTTACAAAACGAAACTGAAGCACATCGGTACGTGTGCATTCTTCCGTGGCTAGGACGAATTACATAAGATTTAAACTTCTTTCCTAAAGTATCGTTTGGGGCATATGGTCTACTATTTTTTCAGAGCTCCTCGTTTCGTTATCCGCATTCTTGGTCACTTAAACAGTTGCACTCTCGATGTTAAGATTTATTGGTTCCCAGTTGATACTGAAAATTTTTTTTGACCCATAACAGTACAACAGTTGAAAGTATGCAGGTGGTTTTGGATAAATGGATATGATACCGACTCTTTTGGAGATAGCAGCTAGTGCTATGCTTGGTTTATTTAATCAGGGTATTTGATGGAGAACACAATTCTGGATTCAGCCGTTTTCATCCACATACTCGCTCGACAGTGTCAGTATGCGGCACTAGTTATGTTTCTCTTCAAGAAATTTACACAACCTGTTTGAATTTACTGTTTTGGAAACAGCAGGAAATGCAATCCAGGTTTCAACGCTTTGCAGGTCTTCAAAAGTGTCTTAGCACGATGCTTTCTTATAGCAACCCGAAATTTGTTTAACTGTGATATATATAATATTGGAGTGTTTGGACGGAACAATATCTTTGTATTGATTCAATAACCTCAACTGACCTTGACTAGCTTGTTGGCCAGTTGTTATTGCTGATCGGTGTATCGAATCTTTGTGTGTTTACATGAAAGAGAAAGTACCCAGTTCAGGTACTCATAGACCAACCAAACATTGTCGCACATGCCCCACCAAAGGTGTGCGTTATTTTAAAGTGTTCCTCGCTCATCCGAGGGTTTATTCAGACAAGCGCTTTGTGTATCACATTCTGATTAAACGTTTTGGTCTCTAAACTCTGACTTCATGCAACCGCGGACGTCGCTTAGTGATACCCGTCGTGGACGGTAGTGAGACACAAATCACCGTGTGCAAAATGTATCAGTAAAGGTGAGAACTACCAAACGGTTCCATGATGACCCAAGGTAGTGTCATCACGTTATGTACAACGGATGAGAAACGGCTTATTTAACAGTAAAACATTGTGGAGTCAGATGAAGTGTGTGATGTAAAATCGGAGTAGGCAGCGACGATACGGATGAAAGTGTAAAATAAAAAAAAGTTACGCGCAAAGAGAACCGGTTCAATAGGGTTTCGGGTGAGAGGGTACGATGTCTGTGCGCATCAGACCGACCAACTTCACTATCAGATTTGGCAACGTCATTAATTTCTAAACGCAAATATTTCACTGTTATTGTATAATTGCCACAGACTCTGCGGAGCATACGGCTTAATTGTTAGGGGAAACGGTTACACGGAACGAGTCTGGTGTGTTCAAACAACCCTGTCCAAAACTGCGCAGCGACGATCGGATGAAAGTGTAAAATAAAAAAAAGTTACGCGCAAAGAGAACCGGTTCAATAGGGTTTCGGGTGAGAGGGTACGATGTCTGTGCGCATCAGACCGACCAACTTCACTATCAGATTTGGCAACGTCATTAATTTCTAAACGCAAATATTTCACTG